TTTGGTGGAGGACCCTAGAACTTAAGATTCTTAACACTCGGATTATATTTTGGTGGAGGACCTTAGAACTTAAAGTTCCTAACACTCGGATTATAAATTGGTGGAGGACCCTAGAACTTAAAGTTCTTAACACTCGGATAATAAATTGGTGGAGGACCCTAGGACTAAAAGTCCTTAACACTCAAATATAAATTGGTGGAGTACCCAAGGATTATGATCCTCAAAACTCATAGATTATGATATTGGAATATGGACAAGGATGAGTCCTATACACTCATAGGTATATGGATGAGTTGTGGTTTTTAGTCAAGAATATTGGCTACTACTATTTTCCCAAATAAACCATGATCCACGGATCGGGTATTTTCCAAATGTATATATACTACTAAGTATTTCTTAACTTGGGGGAAATGACTATTTACATAAGTATCACTCTATGTTTGGGTCTTATACTTGAAACACTAGTTATTCTATATTTAGCCTGCTACCCGCTCGGTACTTGTACTGACCCCTTCGGGGGCCCCCACCATTTCAGGTTGAAGTTAAGGCTTGTCATCTACACCTTTGCACGGGTGAAGAGAATCCAGAGGAAGACGTGGTTCGTGCTCCCTCTACTATTTCCAAAGATAAACTATGCTCATGGATACTTTTGTATTAATACATTGTTTTGGCCTGCGAGCCTACGTTTTGGCCATGTGTGGCCCACGATTGATTATTGAATATTTCCGCTATTCAACTAATCTAAACTGTGATGTTGTTGTGTATGTTTACTACTGAGTATGGATATATATTATGTTCATGGACGCCTTGTATGATTAAGACACGTTGACTTGCGAGTGACGTTACTTGGTCATACAACGGTTGTACACGCGCCTAGATGCGGTCTGGGACGTGACACGAAACCACTTTGCCCCGACCCAAATTGGATGTGGATCTCACTCAAAATATTGCCCCTAATTGACCATTTAATACAATTTTAACACATTTTTCCAACATTGTTCCAAGGAAGAAGATATCGATGATAAATAGTTTTGTCAAGAGTAAAATTGCGATTGACATGAAAAAAAACATACATAAATTTCATATAAACTTTTACATAAAAAACCTCATACATGAAACCAAATGAAATTGGGGTGACCTTAGTCCACGATTGGGCTCTCTTGCCCATGCCCATGGTGATAATAGTGGCTAGGGTTAAAGGTTTTAAGGAAGAAAATTGTAATGTGCATAACAAAAATTTAACTTATTGGACCCTTTAATTGCCGAGAGCCTTTTATAGTGGAGAGAATGAATTGAACAACATAAAAAAAAATTAATAACCAGGTTGTCGCATGAACATTGGTATATATTGATAATCAGCTTTCTAAAAGGTGACTAAAGACAATGTCTAAATGTGATGCGACATGGAAACTAATGGTATTCCTAAATAGATATTAGGGCATTAGGCTATTAGAAACACCTCACATAGAAGATAGACATGAAAAAACGATCAACTTGAGAGTTGAGAGCTTATTTCAAAGGAGTAAAACACAGAAAGCGCATCTTAATTATGAATAGCTAAAGTTTTGTATAGATTATTTTTGTTTAAAAGAAATCACTTCAGTAAATATGTTATAAATATGTTATTAAAATTACAAGTAGGCTTAAACACATTTTAGTCTACATAAATATAACTCTTATTAATTACTTTAGACTTCTGCCAAACCATAATTATATTTCATTAACTATATATGTTAAGTTGTATTCTATTGTTTATATATACTAGCTATTAAAATGATCTGTTCATTTAGAAAGTAAAAAGTATACTGTATACCTAAACTTGTATTACTATCTTCCTTTTTTTCTATATAAACATTCTTACAAAATAATAATCCAAACCCCTTTTAACCCGGGCCTTTTACCCTAGCCTTAATCTAATGTCTAATCTTATGTAAATTAAATTCAAAGGCTTGTTACTTGAAGGCTTCTTCTAATCTTATAGGGACCTAATAATTTAAATAAAAAATACTGTGTACTTAATAACGGAGTAGTATCTTTAAAAAAACTTAGCAACAATTAAAATGAAATAAATGCCTAAAAGAAAAGACGTCAATACTGCATCACGCTTACTTCAGGGTATTATTGTGGGGCCAGGCTCACTTGCATGCGAAACGATATGTGTGTGTTTATTTCATTATTTTATTATTATTCACGTTTGTTTTACTACTACTTAGTACTAGTATTTTGTACTTTTGTGCCAGAATAAGACTCGTTCTCCTCTATTTTTTTTCGATCATTGAGGTGTTTCAAAGTTTGACTTATCTTTAAAAAGGAAACGATACGATTATTTCATCAGTTAATTAATATTAATTAATTACCTTCGTTCTTAAATACATACAATACATTAGAATTTTATACAATTCAGATTATATTTTTGATGGATAATGTATCCGAGGGTAGCTTATCCGAGGGGTTATTGCGGAAAATAACTAGAGAGAAGTCAGAGTAAATAAGTAAGAGAGAGAGTGTATATTGGATATGTATTAAGCGTATTTTGATTGGGTTACAAATGGGGAAATGAGGTGCTATTTATAGTAGCAATAAATGCCAGATAGGGACACATGTCAAGCATCCATTGGCTGAGGGGTCACATCAACTGGTTGGCGCTGGCAATCACATGTGGCCACATTTAATGCGGCTGTTGGATGTGACGTCGTACTTGGTACGGTGATTCAGGCGCATGTGGAGTGGATGTTATGTCGAGAAAGGTGCCCTCGGTTGTAGGTGATTAGCCGAGGGCTCTGAGTACCGGGGACCTCCTTAGTGCCGAGGGCTCTAGGTGCCGAGGGCTACTGATTTTTGCCGTTTTCTCCCAGTAACTTTGTTTGCTTGAGCTGGCAGCCCTGTGAGAATTGGAGCCTTCGGCTAGGGGGCCGAAGGCGTTCCCGGCGTGCCACGTGGGTTGTTTAGCACTTGAAGCGCTGTGTTTTGGGCCTGCTGTGCTCCCTGGGCCTATTGGGCCTCCGTCAGAATAACAGGAGTCTATGGGCCGGGGGTTCCTGGGCCATATACTCCATCAATTTTATTTATTATTAGATTAGAATTTAATTTTGAAAAAGTATAATTCCTCTCACTCTAAATTTTCATATTCTTAATTTTTTAATCATTTTATTAATAAAGAATGAAATATATCCTTTAATCCATGTTAAAATTGTATGTTGACAAATGTAGAGTAGAGAACGTCGCAGCTAAAAAAGGATAAAGTATATATTTTTCAATATTACTCCGTGGTTTTATTTGAAATGAATATTACTCCGTAATTGATAACTTAAATATTTCTCCAGAGGTTTTAACATGTAATCTTTAACTAAAGACGATTATCTTATGGTAGAAGATGATATAAGTGGGAAAACTAAGTGTATTACTTTTAAATTTCCATGTTGATTTGTAAAGTCAACATTTTTATTCACTAATATTAAAACTATATTAAAATCTCCATAAAGTTGCAAAACTAAGTGAGAACAAAATTTAAAATTTGATATCCTGATTAAGTGAATAAAATAAAATAGTTTAACAAAAAACTATTCAAATCAATTTGGGACGGAAGTAATAATGGAAGATAGAGTCGTTAAAAATCATATTAAGAGACCAATATTATTTAAAACCTTTTAATTTAGGCTTTTATCATACTCCCTATTTTTTTAAAGATATATGGGAGGTTTTCAAACATATTCCTGCATGGGAGGAAACCCGGCCGGCTCTCTCCGGCCCCTTCTCCGCCATCATTTATTTCACCTTTTTAGGTCGTTGTAATTGACTTGAGTTTATTAATACGAAGTACTCCTTTCCCCCGAATTGAATTGCAAACTTTGACTGACGCAAGGATTAGGTAGTGACAATAAATGATGTTTGCTTTTTACACTTTTGTCCATCTTTCCAAAAGTAGATGTCTTTAAGTTAATGAAAAAAGTAAAAGTAAGGGTAAATTTGTCACTTTATTCTTATTTACATATCTAAAACAGAAAGTCGAAAATCATTTTGGGACAACCAAAATAGGAAATTTTGCAAATCAAATTGGGACGGAGGGAGTATAAATGACTCGAATATCTGTATGGATTAAATTGTGATTAGAGTGTAGTTGTTTTCGAACTAAATTGTGATAAATTCTAAAACAGTCGAATATCTTTTGTCCTCTTTCTTTAATGAAAAAATTGCAAAGTTTATATTCATTGTAAATATCAGCTTATCAGCTACGTAGTACATGACTTTTAATTTTATAATTAAAACTAGCTAAATTTAAATTTTCATTGCAATTTGTTTAGTCTTTTGACCGAAAATGCAGTTGGTCAAAGTATAGAATAATATAAAGGGATCCACATGCGAGTGTCACATCATGTCTTACATTTTCATTTATTTATTTATATTAAGAGAAAAGGATCGTTTGTGTACGTAATCGTAGGCGCTTCGGTTTAATTATAATCCATTCAAAAATTAACATCCAAACTTTAAATACGCATCATCTAAATATAATATACTCGTACTTATTTAATGCACTTAATAAAGTTTTCAAAGTAGAATCTACACATTCACAAAAATATAATCTGCCCAAATTTAAAGCAAATTCTAAAGATCATGTCCCTTGCGGAGTTGAGGATCGTTTATTACAGGAATACACGCTTGTCCATGGATTTTTTTTACACATGTCTATGAACGGTTATTTTTTTATCCGGAATAGCTTGTTCATGGACAAACCATGTTTTGTCTGTGAGAAAGTTATTCACAAAAATGTTAGTTTACTACTCATTTATCCATATCCTCAGATACATACTCATTTATCCATATCCTCAGATACACATATCCTCAGATACACACGTTAGTGAACACGCTATTCTGGAAATAGTGTGTTCATAGACATGTTTTTTCTGCGAACATGTTATTTCCAAACAAAAAAACCCGTTTTCACCAACGTGTATATGAGGAATCCACAAAGAACCGAAAGAAGTATATACAACAAGCATGGCTGATGAGAATATGAGATATAACATAAATTATGTTTAGAAAACCACAATGAAAACAATAGTATTACATTATTCTCACAAACTATGGTCTTTGAACACATTCCATCAGTTAATCTGATTCACGATGTGGATTATTATCTTAATATTAATCATTTGATAGATATTTGGATGCTTTGGAAACTAATGTAAGTAGAGAAACATGGTAAGCGTGCAAATAAGGCAAACATAGTACAAATTATGCTACTCTGAAAATGATCTCTCAAGAATTAATCCAAAATTAACCCCAAAGATTGAGAGATTTAATTTATCATAAATAATAGTATACCACTTCTCTAATTAATATAATAATTAACCGATACATGTGATCGCGTTTCCCGTTTTGCCCTTTCCAAATGCATTTCTAACCTTGGCACCAAGGGGTCGATCAGTCATTCAGTCCATTCGCGCTGCTACACTACGGTTTTCCATGACTCCAGGATCGGGAAGGCAGCGAAATAGTCAAAGTCAATGCCCGCCGGGCAGCTCGCCTCCCCCGCCGTCCTCGGCGCCGGCGGAGGCAGAGAAGAACCGGAGCCGCCCACTCTCGCCGTCTGTTGCTGCTGCCTGCTCTGTTCCAACATGAAAGATGACGTGTCCAGCGCGGGAAAGAATCCGGTCGGCTGCGGCCTGTTGACGGCCCGGTGAGGCTCCGGTTTCAGGATCGGGCCGATCTGGCCCGCTCCGCCGTGCTTAAATCCGGTGACTTGCTGCACCATCTGGCGGAAGTTAGCCGCGTCGGCGGTGATGTAAGTGGTAGTAGCGCCTCTCGACGCGCGTGACCTCCGCTTCTTCGCCTTCCCGTGGACGCCCAAGCTCTGCCGCTTAGAGCCCGCCGTCTCGTACTCCGACCCGCCGGAGACAGTGGGGCCGGAAGCGCTGCAAGGAGTCCCGACCCGCGGCTCCTCCGGCTTAAAAATTTGCATACCAGCCTCGAAGGGGAAGCCCTCCATGACCGCAGCCGGCGTATCGGACATCGATTTCTGCAACGCTTGGGTCAGCGTCTCTGTTTCGCGGGAAAACGCATCGGAAAACCAAGAATCGGAAAACCCGGCGAAGCGAGACGCCCAGGGCTCCAACGGGATCAAATTATCAGAAGACGCCATTTTTATCAGATCCTTCACCTACAATTTCTTTTTCCCAGACTAAAAACAGAGAATCTAGACTGAAACAGAGTAAAAGATCGATTCTTTACAACAGTCGAATTCAGTTCACACCCAGAAACCAGAAAAACGGGGTGATGATTATGAGAGTGAGATCCAGAGATATATAGAGAGAAAGGGACGGGAGGAAGAGAAGAGTGGAGGGTGAGCAGAAAGGCGATGAGGGGCAATAAATAGGGCGGTGAGGATGGAGGAAGCGCGTTTATGGGGCCACGCGTCAACAAATTGTTGTACGGACAGGCTTTCTTCCTCCCTCTCTCTATATCTCTTCCCCAAACAAACCAGAGTCTGCTCTACAGTTTATTGTTTGACTGTGGACTGTGAAGTCATAATTCATTCTTAAAAATTAATTTCATGTTATTTTATGAAAATAGGGGCCAGCCGATGGGACTGGTTTTTGAATAGTGCAGTTGAATTTGTGATCTCATTGTTTATGTTACGAATTTAGAAAGAACTAATGCTTCATGTACACACCCTTGTACACATCTTATACACACCATGTTTGTGAAACTTTTGTTTTGCCTGTGAATCCAGTTCACAGACAATATTTTGTTTGTGCAAAACATTGTCTATGAATCGATGTTCACAGACAAAAAAAAACTTTCACAGACATAGATGTGTACAAAAGTGTGTATAAGAGTGTGTACAAACGTCATTTTTGATTTAGAAATACCTCCATGAATTCGGTTTGAATTAGCCAAATGGGTGTGGTGAACAAGAGAGAAAGATCATCTTGGAACTGATTCTGCTTCTGCTTCTTTTTTAAACTAAAAGCAGAAACAGAATTAGTTTTCAGAAGCTTGTCACATTCAGCTTCTAAAAAACTGATTCTAAAAGTAAATTAGAGCAACAGAATTACTTCCGCACTATCACTCAAACACTCCAATTTCTGCTTCTGCTTCCTGGGGAAGCAGAAGCAGTTTAAACCAGATCCATACACCACTTAAAAGGGATGACACATCATCCCGAAGAGTCCCAATCACGGATTGGACAACTAATTAAGAGATTGTAAAATTGGAATTTAATCAATAGCAAGTGCTCTTTAAGAGGTGATTGTTAATATGTCTAATCATAGAGCTTAAGATTGTAGTTGGTGGAGGTCGGTTTGGTGTCAGGTATGATTTTTCTTTGATTGATGTAAGTAAATTAGGCGATTTACTTTCACAAAACATATAAATTACACGTTAGTAAATTAAATACTACGTATAATTGTAGCAGGTTGTGTGAATACTGCAAAAACCAAATTATTACAATTATTAAACAATGGAGCAAGTATACCAAACCTTTTGTACACTAAATTTTTGGTATGCCAAAATAATTTGGAATTTATGTATATATGAGTATATGGGCATATTTAAAGTTACATATTAGTACCCTACCAAAATACTTTGTACTGTACTAACCGTACTGAAAATATTGGCAAAACCTACATTCATTACTATGGCATTGCAGTATAGCGGAATTTCGGCATTTCCCCCTTAACCCCACGGTATATATTAGGGATGGCAATAAAATCCGAACCGACCCGAACCGGTATTGAACTAGCCCATAATGGTACCGTAACCGTACCGTTTCAAACAGGTACGAGACTGGTCCTAGTTTTTGAGAACCGAAAAATACTGGATCGAACAGTTAAAAAATAATGCATTTGAGTTTTTTTCATACCAATAGATATCTTTTATAGATCAACAATTTTATAGCTCAAGTATGTATTCATGCATCCCTGAAATAGCTAAATGTGTGTGTTTATATAAATATTGTTATTTTTTCCTTTAGATAATTTATGTTATATTTGGTATATAGTGAAAGAATGCCTAAGTTTTAAAAACCATTAATGAATACGGAGTATTAATTTCTAGTAATGTAGTGTATATGACTTTTTGTTGTATCATATTTGTGTAGTTTTACAACTTAATTAATACGGTTTGAATCTTAGCTCTTACGGTTAAACTATAAATTAAATTAGAAGTAATATTTAACCTAGAAAAAAGAATGTTAAATTTTTTTATTATATTCATCAATTCAATGATATTCTTTTTATATTATCACATGAATTGAATAAAGATGATATTTATCTAGTGTGTCGTCATTTTGCTATACTTTTACTTAATTGTGTTGCACAATTTTAGTATTTGTGAATTTAAATACAAAAGTCTCGGCCTCTTGAATCTTTTCTAATATTTAGTACGCTCTTTCTTGTATTTTTATCAACATTTCATGTGAATTGACCGGTTTGATGATATCTACTAATTGAAAGATTTGTTCAAATGTTTCGGCATGTGTTTGACATTGTACTGAACCATTTTGTATCATTCCGAAATGATATGATACCGAATGCTTCATCTTTAGAACCAGATCGCACCGAACCATTAGAAATCTCACGGGTACGTTACGGGTTTTGCTATTTAACCGTACCATTGTGGATCGCGCTCACCCTTAGGATATATAAGAAGATAAAGGAACTATTGTACTCCTTTTCACTATGTCTTCATTCAAGAGTGAGGGACTACGGGGAATGTGTATCTCTCCGTCAAAGGAAAGCAAATATAGAAGGCCAAAGACAAAGTCTTCAATGAGAAAACTCAACTATGAATTTTCAAGCTCAATTTGCACAGTACAGTGATGGATTAAAGTATGATTGTAGTAACCTCTTAACTATAGAATAAATAAGCACATAATTAGCACAATAACAAGGGTCCAGAACATGAGTTTACTCTTTCACCTTGAGTACTCTCGCGTGAGGGAGTAGAATACTCATGATGATATAGGTGTGGACTCCTAAGCTTAGTGTTAAAGGTTTGGACTACAGACTATTTACGGGTCATATAGAAAGAGTTGACATATGGGTAACCCCTGATTATCGAGCTTCAACCTAGGTGACGAAGTATATGGTTGTGGACCCCCCGACCCATATACTCATACAATTTAAAGATAGGCCCAACGGTCCACCAAAAGTTCAACAACCAATCAGTCACCCCACGATATCTACCCCTCAAATGTACTCCTCATATGTAACCCTCAAATGTATCCCCCCCCCCCCCCCCCCCAGGATGTACCCCTCAGTTCTTTCTCCTTCAGTCATCAGCAGACACATTTAAGGTGAAGACATGCGTTCGATTTTGCCTCACTTCAAAGCATCCTTCCATATATAGATAGGCCATCATATCATCTTATAGCTCTTTTCATATAATTGGGCATACTAGGCTCACCCTAGAAGCTCAATCCATATTTCTCTTGTAAATACTCTCATTGTGAGCCATGTAAAGGGTTGGATTCATAATATAGATTCTCACTTTCTCTATAATTAGGCATGCTAGAGTTCCCTTCTCTATACAATTATACATACATAGGTAACCACTATCCATGAATATACTCGGTAGCTAAGTCTGACCTAGAATGATCGTATCAACCCTGTAAAAGATGGGGAGAGAGTATCACAAAATACGCAAAAACTAGAGAAAACCTTTGAAATTAGCCATAGCAGAGCAGAAGAATCTATCATGCATTACAAAAGCCTAAGAATACCTTTCGTGCCAATTAAAGTATATAATTGGTAAGTGAAACATGTTTTCCATGCCTATAGGTTTCCACCGATAGAGAAGCATTGTATGGTATGAAAAATATTGCTAGGCAAAATACGTGCGTTTTATGGTGTTGCATTGCTTTCGTAAATCAAAAGTGGTGCCTATATCTTGGTGACAACTCCGGTACCCATTTAAAAAATGGGGTACCGTACCTACCACTCACTTGATTGGTTCAAATTATTACATCATTTTTAATTTAGATTTAAATAATTCAACTACATCATTCTGATTGGGCCATGTGGATAAAGGTATGGTACCTTAAGGGTACCATAGAATCTACCCTATATCCACATGGTGTGCCCTCTAGGGAGAATTAAGTACATTTAAAAAATCATTTGTTTCTTGAAAACAGTGTGAAGAAATAAACGACTAGGCCTCGCTAGGCTCAGAATAAATCAAACGTCAGTTGAAGTATTAGTGGCGTAAGTAAACTCTTGGTCCAAAAGGTGTAATCTCCCACCCCAGGAGCCCCCCATACCCCGACCCGACAGGATTTTTGGGAGGATGTTAATCATGGTGACTCAGTCGGCCCAATGATGGTAGGCATTTTTTCAGGTTATGTGACCTCTACATGGCCGCTGCGGGTTTCGAACCTTGGTCACTTGGTCCAAATTTCCCACCACTGAACCAACTGAGCTACCCTTGCGGGTGCGTAAGTAAACTCTTCAGACTATGTGAAAAGTGATTTTCGAATGTGGTTTGCTTTAGCAATGAAAAACAATCTAAAAATATAAAATAAGAGAATATATGCCATTGTAAAAAAAAAGATGACGCCCCATCCCTGAGGGCCCCCAATCCCGACCGGACGGTACGTTGGGAGGATGTAAATTGGACTATAATCCCAATCTGACAGATAGAGAGTGAGGCTCTGTCCCCGATACTTGCAGAGGTCCTATGCATTTTTAGTATAGTAACCCCTCATCCTTGTGGCACTCCATTGCTACCAGTTGAGCTACGCCACCGGTAATAGATGCCATTGTAACTTATACTCGTTTGACGACTACACCTACTCGAATATCCGAAAACAGTTCCTTCACGATTTCAAAATTCACCAGTTTTTCAATCTCCTTCAAATCAAGCAAAAGAATCAAAAGAAACTTTGGTAAATCACGATTTACCTATGATTTTTCTCGACTAGATAAATTTTTTAGTGTAGGATATAATTGACCTTTAATGAGGATACGCATGTAATCATGAGGAAGATCTAAAAAAAGTATAAATAGTATACTCATACCAATGAAGTGAATCTTCAATTGAAGGAGAGAATTTCACAGTTAAGCATGATTATATGAGATTAGTTTTAGAATGGGTGACCCTTCACTCATCTAGGAAGCTCAGGGCGCATGAGTAATAAGGCCAAAATGCATTGTAAAGGTTTGTGCTGGTTTTGAGGACAATGTAGGGTCCGGAGAGCATTCAAAAGTAGCGGCCTTGATCCCACATGATCGGGATGTTACAGGGGATATATGAGCAAACGTATGATATAGTATACTGATTTGGGGTATCAGACGCCCCATTTAACATATTGTCACAAATTTTGTTAAAGTTTGTCACAAGTTCTTTACTATTAAAGGATAATGAAATCTATTTTAGAACGGACGAAAAAGAAAAGAATTAAGATCACATTTTGAGGGATGGTACTTCGTAAGATCTAATTATTTCGTGACATTCTAATATACCCTTCTAACACAACTTTTTATGATGTGGCATTAAAGAGTTAACCCTAATTTCATACTCCGTAACAAAATACTTGTACCTTTTACTTTATTTTTAGTTTTTAGTTTTTCTTT